CCCCCCCCCCCCATGGTATCCCCCCCCCCCCCCAAGTCTACTCTACGGTCCCTAAACCCTAACCCTAAACCCTAAACCCTAAACCCTAAAACCTAAACCCTAACCCTAAACCCTAAACCTTAAGTCTTAAACCTTAAACCCTAAACCCTAAAACCCTGAACCCTAAACCCTAACCCTAAAACCAACCCCCAACCACACCACAGGTGGGGGGGGGGGGATCATCTTAGTACCCCATCCGCGCGTTAAACCCTAAAGCCTAAACCCTAAACCCTAAACCCTAAGACCCTAAACCGTAAACCCTAAACCCTAAACCCTAAAACCCTAAAACCCTAAACCCTAAACCCTAAACCCTAAAACCCTAAAACCCTAAAACCAACCGCCAACCACACCACAGGGGGGTGGGTGGGGGGGGTTCCATTTGGGGGGGGCTTGGGGGCCCGCCGGTATGGTTCAAGCGTCGAGCGGTCCTGGCCCCCCCCCCCCCCTGAATCATCTATGGTTGTGCACTGTGCCTGTTCCGCCCCCCACCCCCCCAGGTATCCCCCCCATGGGTCTACAGTCCTCCCCTACACCACTCCTAAACCTACCACCCGAAACCCTAAAACCCTAAACCCTAAACACCTAAACCCCTAAACAAACCCCTAAAACCCCTAACCTAAGCCCTACATACTCGTAAACCTAAAACCCCTACCCCTAACCCTAGCGGGGGGGGGGGTGCCGTGGTGGTGGTGGTGGTCCCGTGGTCCTGTGGTGGTGGTCCGTGGTGGTGGTTCGTGGTGGTGGTCTGTGGTGGCAGTGGTGGTGGGGAGGGGAGGGGGGGGGGCGGGGCGGGGGGCCGCCGGGGCGCAATCATACATAGGCCGCGCAAGAAACTCAAGGACACGGTTGAGGGTTTGGGGGTTTATGGTTTTGGGGTTTCACAGGGTTCGGGCCAAAGCCCGACACAAAACACCCTAACCCCAAAACCTTAAGGGTTTCGGATTTAGGTTTAGTTTAGGGTTTAG